TATAATAATAATAATAATAATAATAATTACAAATCACAACTATTATATAAACACCTTCTACACACACACAGTCACACACACACACATAAATATATAGAAACTGCCTCAAATTTGAGATCGTTACATTTCCTATTTTTGCTCAAAATCATATCCTCCAAACATGGATACTACTAAGAGCAGCAAGATCTTGATCGTTTTCATGCTTCTCTTCTTTATTTTCGGTAAGGACAGCTTCTTCAGTTTTGTTTACTCTGAGAAAATATTTTAAATTCTCGTTGTTTCGAAATAATTATCTTCCCTACTATGTATTTGATTTTATTTCAAAATAGTTGTCATTTTAAATATATATATAATGGAGTATTATTTATTTTGTTCTAACAGTTTTAAATTTCATTAACTTTTGATTTCAAGTGAAGGGAAAATAATCAGTGCTCCAAAAAAAGTTAAGGGAAAATAATGTATAATAAGAGATATCTTGAGAATAATTGTAGGAGAGTATTTAATTAAATACAATGATTTTTTAATAATCATTTTAATTGTTTGATATTTATTTTCATTTGTATACTTCACCGTAATTATTTTAAAATAAAATATTATTTGGAGATTCCAAACGGTTTGTGTATTAAAATGACACATTTTTTTCATTATAACAATATTTTTTTAAAATTAGAGACAACAGTATTAATGGCTTAAAATTATGAGCGGCATTAAACTGGCGATTCCCTACTTATAGGAGAGTTCTTATATCATTAGATTACAATGGTATTGGCTCATGATTTCGTCTAATTGCAAACAATACAACTTTGTTTCAAAAAAAATTTTCATAAGAACTATGAATATTTAGAATTCTTTTTAATATCGATATCACTGTTAAAAGAGAAGTAATATTACATTGCCGTTAAAAATGCTAACAATCAATGTTAGTTTCTTAATGGTTATGGTGATTTTAATCCTTTCGTACTACTTCTAATGATTCGAAAAAGATTTCTGAATACCTATAACTCCGATACAGATCAGTCTTCAAGACAAAATATATTGGAAGCTTAATCCAATATATAATTAATATTTATCTCAACACAAAGTGTTTTGTGATGGATGGGACAGGTAGGGAGGCAGAGGGAATAAGGGAAGGAATACAAGGTGGTCCTATGGTGTCATGCCCTTATGCAAAATACTATAACCCTAATTGCAATGACAAGGATTGCGCGCGCTTTTGTACGAATGGACTTGGAAGTGGTTATGTTCGTGGACAGTGCCTCGACCCTCAAACATGTGGATGTTCTGCTTGTTAATTAATTACTAGTTTAATTTGCCTACTCGCTTAGGTTTATATAATTTACTATATTTGGATATGTCTTAAATAAATAAATAAATTATTATCTGATATATATAAATATAGTATTTGGTATCAATTCTGATTCAAGCATTTATTGGTTTAATTTCCCTGCTAGGTTTATATAATTTACTATATTTGGATATTTCCTAAATAAATAAATGATTATTTGATATATATATATATAATATTATATTTGGTATCAAGTCAGATTCAAGCATTTCTTGGATTTTTTTCGCTAAATTAATTATGATGCTATCACTCATGTTTCTCATAAGCAGCAACCCTCACATGCTTCGTGTAAGTTTCAATTAACATTGGGCATAACAGAGGTTATATAAAAATGATTTATAACATGATTTTAAAATAGGGTGCTTGGAGAAATTTTTAAGAAAATATACTCTGGAAGCAAGTAGTAGTACTCCCTTTGGTTTTTTTTTTAATTTTTATAAAATCTAGTTTAGCGTTATCTGAACATTAAATGCATTTTTATCAATTTTAAAAAGCATAGTTTAAGAACAAAAATATGCCCTTTAATGATTTAAAAAAGCACAACAATGTAGGTAATTGACAGGTAAACAAAGTTAAAAAAAAAATTAGATTTTAAGTTAACATAACCAACCCAAACGCTCTAACTCTTTTCTAAATGACGTTTAAGGATGCTAGTCAACAACGCAGCCAAAATTAAAAATACTGTACCTGGACCTATAAGGAAGCATTTTTGGATATCTCCTTGAGAGAGAACTTCATCAATTCGGCCCTATGGTTCAAGAGATTTGAACGTACACCATGGGTGAAATATACATGGGAACTTTCCTTTAAATCTATCCCACCTTGTTTGTATTCGTATGAATCACATATTAGCTTTAAAAAAATTATTTGTGCCTCTTTGATTTGTGTTTGAAGCTTTGTGATGAAATGAATCCTCAGATATAACTTCAAAGGAATACAGCTTACAAAATAAAATGCCCTGATTGACTCATTCTTATCTCAAGATCTTGTTGCCCAATTGATACCAAACGTCTTTTTAAGACTTTTTTAAGTGTAAGGCTATGAATTTGAGTTTTTTAGGGATAAGGTGTTTAAGTAACTTGAAAGTATCCATGAAGGAGCATATAGCATCTGGAATTTTTTTTTGGTTCTTATGTGAACTAAAAGTTTGTTTTTGTAACAAAAATATCCTAGTCATTATCCGGCATTAAGTTTGACTATTAAATTATGCATTTTGACTGATATTTTTAACAGTCAAACTTAACGACAGATAACTATTGGGGATAGAAATGTTATAAAATAAAACTTTTAGTACATATAAGAGCAAAAATAAAACTTTTAGATGCTGAGCACTCCTTCATGAATGCTTTCGAGATATTTTAGTACCTTATCCCAACCTTTTATACACGAGATAATGGGCGCTTCTATGAAGAAAATATTAGTGGTGATATGTTGCTGAGATTTGTATTTCGCTTAATATTCAAAGGGCTGCTGAACATAGCACCTACATCCTAAAACAGAAGCTCTTGTTTAATTATGTACGGCTGATAAAATTGAAGGATGTCGAAGAAGTCAATCGATATAATATGCTACTTAACTCTCGTGACATCGATGTTGACTTTTTTAGGTTTATTGATCCACCCTAGGTTTTAGGAGGTGATTTTTGGATGAGATTAGATTAAAATATACCAAACTTTCATGAACATTATCTTATATAATCTTCATAACTTTTAAAACTTCATAATAATTTTCTTCCAACTTTTACATTATTTACATTATGCAGATAACTCCCGTACAATTAGTTTTGTTCATTATTCATCTCCAAATAATTTGAAGTTTAGGTTTATTACATTTAACTCAAAGTTCCGGGGCGTTATTTGTATAACAAATAAAATTTAAATCAGTACAAAGATAATTTAATATTATCTACATAGACTTAAAACTCTAAGAAAGCATTTTATTAGTCTTTAAAGGTTAAGGATGTTATTTATGCATTAAATTTAGAGAAATTTCATGTAATTTAGCTTCTAGAATATTTAAGTTCCTCTGTTTTCATTTGTGGCTTACTCCATTGCTATTCATTAAAACAAATGAACTTATTTTTCTTGTTCTAGTTTGGATGAAGGATGGAGGAGAGAAAATAAATAAAAGAAGAAACTAGAAAAATAATGTTATCATCCCTCGTATTTAGATAAATGGGAGAGAACGAGAAAATGTAATAATAAAAATAATATTCTTATATCCTGATTTATTATATCTCATGTCATCATTTATAACAAAAACTAGTATTTAAAAATAAACATATCAAAATATTATTATTCGTATTTGTATATGTTTAAAAATAAACTGAAAGAAATATATTTTCCATATTTGCAAAAATGACTTGGTGGATTGGTTTGAATGAAAAGGCCATTGTCAAAGTCACTTGATGGATTGGTTGGAGTGAGAACACAGGATGGTGAAGGGTAAGGTGAAAGAAGAATTTTCTTCCCAAAGTCTTCTCATATTAAGAGAGAAAAGTTTTGGCAAATGTGCAGCTATTTATTATTTTCTTCTTTTCTTTTCCCTTCTCTTACTTTTTTTTTTTCAGGAAATTGGGGATAAATCCCCATTGAAAAGTTAATTGTAGAATGGGACTTGACTTTAGATGATAATAAGTTTGACGGATAAAAAAACTTTAGATGATAATAAGTTAATTGTAGAATGAGAGTTGCATATGCTTGATCTTAATTATATATTACATATGTCTAGTTTCATATGGAGCCTAATTGCATATCACCAATTCTAATTGCATATCCTTGATCCTCAGTTGCATATGACAGGTCTAATTGCATATTGCATATGTCTAGTTGCATATAGGACCAAATTGTATATCACTAACCCTAATTGTATATTCTTAATCCCAAGTTGCATATTCCTAATCCTGATTTTATATTAAAGATGCCTAGTTGTATATAAGATCTAATTGTATATTATTGATTCTAATTATATATCTTTGATCTCCAGTTGGATATGTTTGATCTTAATTGCATTTCATTAAGGGTATTGTGGTAGTTTTTTTCCTTGTTAATTCTCCAAAAAAACCTCAAATGTTCAGGTCATATTCTATAATTAACTTTTTAAATAGGAACTTATCCCTAATTTTTCCTTTTTCTTTCCCTCATCCAAATAAAGGAAAATTCCAATTTTCTCCTAATGTTTTCTTTCCTCTTAACTTATTTTCTCGCCCAAACATGGGATTAATAATACCCGTCGACTTATTCCAAAAAAATGAAGACAAAAAGAAAAATTGCTACTATGAAAAAAGAAAATTATAATGAGGTTTCAAGAAAGAAAAATAATTACAAAAAATGTCATTGAAATGATAGGTATGTGGCTAAACTTCCCAATTAAAACAATAGATATTCATTAAAGATATTGTTATTTTTTACACTGAAACTTGTCATTATAGCTGTTTAGATTGTTATAGAGACATTTTAGTAATTATTATTTTTTGCTTGGGCCCTTAATGTAATTCTTCCTTATAAAAAAAGCAAAAATTGCAATAAAAATAATAATCTGCTTAAAAAAAAGTTATAGAAAAAGTTAAATTAAATTAAAATGATAGATATGCGGCTAAACTTCCCAATTTTGCCGTCTCTTCGGGTGGAGACTGCGATCAAAACCGCAATAGCCGAGCAAAGCCCAGACAAAGTGTACGCTGTTTCAAACACCGCTCCCATTATTTCACCTTCGTTCTCTCTCCCCTCTAACTGTACACCCTTGCTCTCGTCTATCCTTGCCTGCTGATTCATTCCAAAACCCGAATCCTCTTTCATTATCTGCAACTATGGAATTTCGCTTCATCTGAGCTTCTATTAAATGAGGTTTTTTTAGTCATCTGAGTACAATTTGTTTCTCTGAAATTATTTCTTAGGAAGGTAATAAACAAAGAAAAAAGCTGTTAAGTTTATTGAATTATTGTTCTGAAGCTATCTCCTTCGAGCTTGAATTGTTGTTGCGGCTTCTGGAGCTTTAAATTATGGCTGCGGTTGCTGAGATTTCCCTAGACGCAGCAGCTGCGAACAAGTTGGACTCAAATTCCAAGTCCGAACCCGAATTCAATGTGCAAAAGCTCGTCGATATGTTCACTAAGCTGAATCCTTTGGCGAAAGAGTTTGTCCCTTCGAGATATTCTCACCATGATCATTTCCATCAGGGCTATCATCAGCTCTCGCCGAACAATTTTCTGGGCGGAGATATTACGGCAGCTGATGTTAATCACCAAAATTATCGAAGGGTATTGTCACTTTTGTCCGATCTCTCATTCCGTTAGATTTTTGGATTTTATATTCCTTGTTTACTTATTATTTACGCTATTTTGTTGAAGATTTTAAATGATTATTAATGAGAATGCTTGGTATTTTGCATCGAATTCATTGTGACTAAATATATGCACCATGTGGCAAAATATAGTGAAAGTTCTTTACTTTTTTGTTTCTGGAGTCGGTAACTTGGTATTTGTGCGGTGCACTTTGATTACGAAATTGAAAATTAGCTTGAATTGAATAGAATCTCTGCACTCTATGGTCATGCTTTTTAAGAGTGGAATTTGTGTTTTTTCGGCTTCGTGTTATATTTTATTGTTTCTTATGCGATGCATTTGCAGTTATTTGTTTTCATGAGCTAGCTTAAATTTTCCTTGAATGTGTCTCTTTTGAAATTATGCTGTGTGTAGCTGATTATGCCTTTTATCATGACATGTTATCATGTGTTTTTCTGTTTATTGTACATTTGACTTTGAAATGTTTGTATAGAACTTACCAAGCAACGCTAGGTTGTTATTATTTTGTAGAAACACTACTCTTTCTTGGGTAAAGATTATGGCGACATAATTAAGATGATTTTTTTATGTGGAAGTTAGTCCTGATATCACTGACCTTGTTTCGTTTACCAAAAATTTATGCTTTGATCATCTTGCAGAGAAGAACTAATTATAGCCAGGGGAGAAGGTCCAATGGAAGAGTGCACAAGGCTCAGAGAGAAGATAGCATTAGGAGGACAGTATATGTTTCTGATATAGATCAGCAGGTAAGCAATAGTGGCTGAATTAACTTAGTTTATGAATTTATGAATTATATAGTTTTCCCCGCATCGGTTCTGCTTATACAAAGGTTGTGCTATTTTTATTTTTTCCGACAAAAACAAAGATTGCATTATTTGAACAGTCTCTTTTCTTGATATAGGTTACTGAGGAGCGGCTTGCTGCCTTATTTACTAGTTGTGGACAAGTAAGTCATGGTTATCACTGTTATATTGTAGCAGTGGGAATTCATACTGTTTTGCTATTGCTTTTTCCCTTGCATTTCTATGGTTTTCTTGCTTTATTCTACACATTTTAAAAATGCTATTCATATGTTCCTAGGAGACATTTTCTTTTCTCTGTGTCCCATGTGCTAAGTGTCACTGACATCTTCCTATTACGCTGCTTTGAACTTGGGCATCTTATCAATTTTAATGCAGTTGGCTGCATTAACAAAACATTTTTTAATTACCTGAAGCGGTATTTCGTCTTTTATTAAATGTGGAATTATTGCTTGTGCCTTGGCTATTTATTCAGCTAAGCAGAACATAACACACTTATCTTGACACGCTTTTCTTGTTTCGCTACTTGCTTGTTCTTGAGTAAACATGGGCTGGCCTAGTTGGTTGCTGGTTTTTTTTCCTTGCTGAAATTTTCTAAACAACACTTGATGCTAGTTTTATTCTTGACTTTTTTCATATCGTTTGTGAGCTGGTTTTTTTTTTTTTTTGGGTCAGTTTTTTAATGCAAAATTTTATCAAGTAAACTGTAACTTTATAATATAACATTTCTAAATGCTATCAATGTCCACCCCTTGAATTGTGTGTGTATTTCATTGATATTTGCTAGAAAGCTCTCATCTTTTTCGTGTAAAAACAAAATGTGCATCTGTTCATTCTAATGCTTCTGTAGCCTTTCTTCTCAATAGCCTCCTGAATTAGCAAAGGATTACCTTTTGGGTTTACCTGTAAAGTCTGCTTAATTTGGCTGAGTAGAACACCATACTTTCATTTGTCAAATGGGTTCATATTTCCTCCACAATGAGTGTCAGTCAATCTTTTTAATGTATGAAATATGTCCACTGATAGTTGTATTGCTAGGCACCTATCAGTACTTTTGAGAACTCATGCTATGCATTATTGTTGTTCATTATTATCTTCCATTTTAATAAATAAGAAGATTTAAACCTCAAAAGATATATTGCCTTTTTAATAATTTCATTAATTTGGAAATCTGACATCAAGACTTTTCTCCTTGATTGAAGGTTATTGACTGCCGCATTTGTGGTGATCCACATTCAATTCTTCGTTTTGCATTTGTGGAGTTTGCAGATGAGCGTAAGCATTTTGCTTGCAAATCCAGTTGTCTCCCCCTGTTCCTCAAATAGACATATGGACAGGCATGCACAAAATGACCATTATGTTTTAAATGTATCTCATGCATTTAACTTGGACTGTGTCAACAGAAGGTGCAAGAGCAGCTTTAAACCTTGGTGGCACTGTGCTTGGGTACTATCCAGTTAGGGTCCTTCCTTCCAAAACTGCAATCCTTCCTGTGAATCCTACATTCCTCCCCAGGGTATGGGCAAATCTCCAGTCCTTTTTATATGATTCTATATTTAGACTGAAAGGGATACCAAAGATTTTCAGAGTAAAAGTTTGGGCCTGTCTTTTCGTGGGAGATCAGCCATCTAGCTTTTGTATCAAAGACAGAAACAGTCGATTGACTTATCTCTGGTGTTTAGATTTACACCTGCAGATGGTCAGCATGGCAGATAAATATTTCTAAAAGTGCAATGCTAACTCATGTCGTTTTCTTCTATTGCTCAACTCATGTCCTTTCCACAAAATTTTTTTCCCCCTTCATTTGATATTTTCTTTCTGTTATTTAAAAGGCAAAATTGTCCTGCTCTTTTGTTCATGTCCTATTAATAATTGCAGTCTGAGGATGAGCGGGAAATGTGTAGCAGAACTGTCTACTGTACAAATATTGATAAAAAGGTATATCATTAATCTTATACTTTGTTGACTTGATGAACTGGTCCCATTTATTGATTTTCTTGTAAATTGTGCCTATCTTGATACACACACACACACACATTAATATTAATAAATAAACACGCAAGATTAAATAGACTTACTGGATGAGGTTTATGGACCATGGTGGCCCATTGTCCCCACAAGATCTGCCTCTAATAAGACCTTACTAAACATTGGTGTTTCAGGAAGTATTTGAAAACTTCATTAAGGGTTGGGGACTGCATGGGCCTACCAGTCATGATATAATGCATCTCTGTTTTGCATGTATAGCATGACAATTGGGGTTGAGTTTTTTAAGGTCTTTTTCCCCTTAAATCACCTTTGACCTCAATCAGTTATCTTGTAGATTTCTCAAGCTGAAGTGAAGAACTTTTTTGAAACAGCTTGTGGTGAGGTCAGTCCAGCACAATATCTTATGCAATTAACTCGAAAACAGTTATCTAAGATGTTGGTTTACAGTTGTTTATTATTATTGTTGTTGTTGTTATAGGTTACCCGCTTGAGGCTTTTGGGAGATCATGCTCATTCAACTCGAATTGCTTTTGTAGAATTCGCAATGGTAATTTTATTATGACCATTCAATGCTCTTATAGTTGGCTGCTATATGTTAATGTTAAGTTATGAGGTAAATTACACTCCTATTTTGAGAGATGCTCAAATTACTTGTCCCTGCTCTCTGTTCTGAAAATCTACTTTCCCCTCCTCTGAAATTAATAAATAAATAAATAAAAGAAAACTACATTGACCTCTCTTGCTATAAAGACGAGCTAGGATTACATTTATTTTGACCAAAATACCTTTATATCTCCTGTTTATGTATCCTACGGAGTACCTTATACTAGCTTGATCTCTATCGTGGCTGTATTTGTTCATTTTGGATGTCAAGAAGTTTTTTGACTGGTCACAAATCCAAATAATGGAGGAGGGTTGTGATAGGTCCTTGATAGCCAACATAAAACTGTATTGAATCTCACATGGATATGGACAATAGATGTTTTTCACGCTAGTGCTAGGTTGTTGACCCTAAGCAACGTGTTGTGTGGCCCAATGATAGTATAGCTGACTCCACCTAGTGAGATAAGACTTGTTATTATTTTGTTGTTGGATGTCAATAAGTTAGGATTAGTCTTAAATAATGTTAGTGCTGTGATGCAAGTTGACCATGATTGGATATTATTTCATTTGTTCTAATCACAAATCCGGATAGTTTTCACCATGTAAGTGCTGCTTGAAATTAGTTGGGTTTTTATTATTGATGAAAGATAATCATTGAGATTTTTGTGTGACTTTTTTGCCAACCAAACAACAAAATTGTTTCTACGAGCATAGAAATGAAACTTGTATGATTTAGGATTTGAATCTTACAATTTGCAATAAGTCACAAAACTAACTATGAATTGATAGTTGAATCAAAAGTTGTCCTGAATTGTACGATTAACAACTTGAATCTTGTGATTCTGATGGAAACCAATAGAAACTGATAATATTAACATAGCAATGAAGCTACGGTTCTTCTCTAAACCCACCGGGGGGGTTAGCATATGAATTAGCAAGGTGGTACTTACAATAAGATACCTTGGTGAAACGAGGCAAGAAAAAAGAATTGAAGGGCGCTAGTAAACAAGCACACCTTTTAGTTTTTGAGAGGCTACATTCTCTCCTCAAACCTGCCATAGTCTTGCTTGGCCCCTACACTTCACAGGCCCTTCCAATAGATGCTGACTTCTTCTAAACCAGTCCCCCCTCCCACCCCTCTCTCTGTATCAGATCGCCTCTCCTTTCCTCTTGCTTTCTGGCTCTTTCTGTCATTCTTTCTAGTGGGGCATGGCCCAATGGGCACGGGTCTGTTGGATCCATAATGAGTTGTAAAGCCAATGGTCTAGTGATATTATGAAAATTAATGACGAGATTGGCCACAAATGACAAAATAGTACAATTTTGTGATTTAGAAATATGTGGAAGTAATGAGTTGGCATTATAGTGTATTGTTAAGTGCAGTTGATGCCTCTTACAAAGAATGCAAAGAAGAAAATCCTTCAGTTTATTTCAAGAATCAATTACTTAAATTATATGACTAATGAGCTCATAGATAATATAATTGTTCATTTTATTTCACTTATTACGGGATCTTATGATTTGATGCATTTAAAGATTCACAGCTTTCAAATACTTGTTTTTGTTTATATCTGTAGACTCTGAGAAAGACTTGCACACAAGGAACCATCTTGACTGATTTGTTTTTTTTCTTGACCAGGCCGAAAGTGCCATTATTGCTCTGAATTGTAGTGGGATGCCCTTAGGAAGCCAACCTATCAGGTTTGGCCCCCTTACTGGAGGATAATGGTTTTATGTAGATCTTAACCAAACACAGTATGATCATATTTGGTTCCTCCTTATTCTGCAGGGTAAGTCCTTCAAAGACACCTGTGAGGCCAAGAATGCCCCATCCAACTCCCCATTAACTGATCAACATCGAAGAACTTACTGAGGCAATTTGGTCACCATTCCTGTTGAGACTTGGGTAGAAGGGGTGGTGAAGTTTCCTTTATTTGAGCTGTTCCATTTTTACAATCATAGCAGTTGCTTTAGTAATGCCCATGCATATAACGTTCTGCTCTAACTAAAACTTCCGAGGCACCGGTCTTCATCTTAAATATTTTACCATGTTTTTCTTGTTCTTTTTTTAAAAATTGAGGTGGGCTTGTTTAAGTTATTTTGTTACTATGATCAAGTACTCACCTGATCCGCGTACTTCCTTAGCCACCTTTAATCTTGAACGCCTATAAGGTCAAGAAATGGTGCAAGTTCACTATTTAATTAGTATCTACTTCTCTGTTGATCATGTGCACGGATATGATTTTGTTTATCTTATCCTGGAGATGGAATGGTTCTACAGTGACAGGAAGGTTGGATTGTTGGGACTTTTATGAATGTCTTCCCTGCTGATCACGCAGTGGAAAATTAACAATTTTCATGAGACAAATAGGAGTTGATTGTATATAAACATTAGTGTGCTTGGTCAGTAAGATGGATGATGTTTTAATCGGCTTGGGTTTCATTTTTATAAGAAATACTATCCGAGTAAAATCTTAAATTTACAAACTCAAATCAACGTAGCAGCGTTTACTTTTGCATTTTCTTGGTGAGGAGAATTAGTTTCAGGTTAAACCTAACTGACACCTTTCGTCAGCATACCCAAAAATTAAAAAGGTGATGTGCCTGCTGTCTGCTGGAATCTGATGCTTATTGGTTCTTTTGAGAACTGGACCGGTAAAATCACTTGGTTCCTGGTCTGTATTGCTTCCAAACTTGTGTGGGGAAAGATGTAGAGGTTAATATTCGCACAGATATTAATCTGAAAGAGAGTGGAAGAGGAAAAAGATACCACAGATATCAGGAGTTTCATAATATCAGTATATATCTTATCTTGGTTCATCTTGGTGGTGCCTTTCTTCTTGGATTCCCACTAACGCTAGAATGAATTCCTGCCTCTTTGGAAAGGGTTAGGATACTGATTTAGGAAAGTGGGTTAAAGTGGATCTAGCCCACTTGATTGTCAAGTAAGGTAATTCCTCTGGAGAAATTTAATGGAGTTTACAAAATTACTGGTGGCGGCATGATGGTAGTATTTTATGGAAGGCATTATTTATTCATGATTCTTGTCTGTGTTCTCTAATTTTTACCTCCAGAAATTTGTGAGACCTATGAGGGGGAGCTGTGACATGTGGAATGCGTTTTCGATTCTAAGCAAGTGTAAACTCTAGAATATTACTCCCTTCGATCATAAATATAGCAATTAGGTAATTAATTTTCAAGAATTAAGAAAAATAATTAAGTTATTTGTAATAAATGTATATTGATTTTTTAATATGTCTATCTTAATAATTTGTATTAAAAATTTCCATAATCGAGGGAAACTTTATTATGTGTAAATTAATGATTGTTTGGGGAAAGAATTGTAAACTTGTGAAATAGTAAATTGAGCTGTTATATTTAGAATCAAAACAAAATTATCAACTAGTTTCTACATTTAGAATAAGAGGGAATGGTTTTCATGTTTGGTGTGGAGGTTGATGAGGCTGGTATGTCCAATGTATAACACTCTAAACAACACAGTGTTCGCATTCAATGCTCATCAGGTGATGACCACCCGGTGCTCATCACCTGATGAGCAATCTGGGCCGTGCAGATCTAATCTGGATGGTCCAGATTTAATATTTTTAAATAATTATTTAAAAATAAAAAAATTATATTTTTGAAGGATGATAATTAAGAGATTATCTTTATTTTTTATCTTATACCTATTAAAATAATTATTTTAAAAAAATAAAATTGAAATTAAATCTAAACCGTCTAGATCAAATTTGGACGGTCCAGATCTGATGAGTATTAGGTGCTCATCAAAACTGGTGAGTACCCAATGCAAATCCAAACAACGTACAGTGAATCTTAATTTGTCCAAAGAAAATATCTTGTTGGTCAATGCCTTTTATTAAATTATGGATTCAACATTATAAAAAAATTAGTAAGATCACTGATTGTAATCTCTAAAGTAGACACATAATTACGGCGTGGTAGAAAAACAAGAAAAGAGAAAAAAAAAGAAATATTTCAGCAACTTTGAAAATAAATTTGATGGATAAACTTATGAAAACTGGGGCTTCTTATAGCTTTTATATTAAATATTGATATATTAATCAACTCTTCCAAATATCATATATAATTAATTATTGCTTAACCTGTGAATAGGATATTGTACATTATAAATATACAGATTCAAACATAAACTATGCTTCAAGCTTACATGGTTGAGCTCCATTGGATCCCATGCACGCAGCTCATTGAAATTATATAAACGTACAAATTGAATCATCATTCATTTAAAAGTATACATAAATGACAAGATCAACAACACATGTTAACACCAATGTAAAAAAAAAAAAAGCCAAGAACAACTTACTTAATATTAATTGGGATATATATATATATATGTAAGAATGTGTGTGGATATATATATATGTATGTATATATATCCTCATAGCTAGGGAAACTTTTTGCTTAAAACATAATGGCATTCTCATTTGTTACAAGGCCATGAACATTCACATTTGTTAGGTTCCTTGCAACCTCCATTTGAGGGTCCATACCATTCTTCACACAAGTCACTGCATTTGTCAGGTGTGCACTTGTCCAAGTCCTTTGTCTCCTTACAAAATATGGCTTGTTGCCCTCTTACCACCTCACTGCCTACACCATCATAAAGTCAACCAAATTTGAACCACACATTTTTTTTCCTAATACATTACATAAATTATACGGAAAATTACATTGAGATTCTAAGAAAAGAAAATAATTATCTGTAAGTCCTAATAATAAATGAGCAATTGTCATTTACTATCTTCATGATATGTGAATAGCATATGACAATTTTTTTTGTATTTAGATTGATCGTGCATATACATGTTAAATTTTATTTTTAAAAATTTTTTTGAGATTATTGACATCACCCAATCATTCCATCACACAAATATTTTTCCATATATTGCATAAAATATAAGGAATGAGTCACATTAGTAATTGAATATAAATAATTTAGTGTGCTATAAATTATAGGTGCTATAAATTTTATATTTTATATTGATAGTATATAACTTAAATGAAATAAAATGGATATTTTGCGAATTCTTTTCGACATTGTTTTGTGTATTTCTCTTACAATTTTAATATTCACAGTCACAAAACCCTTAATAAAATAAATTATACAATTTTTAAAATTAACATCAAAGATACAAAACACAGATTACAATTTTTAAAATTAACATCAAAGATACAAAACATAGATTACACATAACTCTTCCTAATCAAGTGATGTGGTTATATTTTTAAATATTTTTCCACAATAATGAGGTGTTACTATTTAATAAGGATATCTTAAAAAACACATCATGTGAGGTCAGGTCAAAAAAGAGATCATTTTGATAATACTAAATTGATCAAAACAAGATTAGTAGTTTACTGAAATTACCCAAATCTATGTAATCTCAACCAAATTCAGGGCTATAAAATATATTCTTAAAATTGAACTTACAATTTGTTTTCGAAACATAAAAGATGTAATTTACTCAAACCCTTTGCCATTCTTCTTTGGTTTTCTTTCTTCCCATCTCAAGCTTATAATTAGAGTTTTAGCAATCCAGGCATAGCACAAATGCATTAATTAATGAATGCACATTAAAGAAAATTGTGGGAAAGAAGTGTGAAAGAAAAACAATGCTGTCTTTGATTAATTATCGAACACACACACACACACATGGAAGTTTTAAGTTTCTTACCAGAAGTGAACAAGAGAAGCACAAGGATGACAAAGATCTTGCTGCTCTTCATGGAATTCATTTTTTTAGCAGGAAAATCAAGTAACGATGAAGGAATGAAATGGATTATGAATGAATTGAAAATGGTGGGGTTTGAATGTTTCAAGGTACGTTTTATATGTTACTGGTCTTTGAATGAGTGATTACCGTTCAACTCTTTGGATTTTCTCCTAAATTTAGGTTATTGAACTTGTCTAATTAATTCTAAACCAGTTAATTTATAGTACAGTCATAATTTGTTAGTTAAAGTTATCTAAATATATAATTCATCTCTAAAATAGTAAGGACTAACTTGCTACACATAAAATAAGAAATTATTTGTTTCTTCACAAGATATTTGTAATAATTTCTTGATAGCAATTTTTTCATTTAATAATATATTAGATATTTCATATCTATAAAGTTATTTGTTTATTCCATTATTCTATTATATTCCTAGTAATATAAAAATTTATGAAAAATTGGTTTTCCGACAATTGATGGGCTTGTCTAACAGAGAAAAAGAGTGTATGTAAGGTTCAATAGAGATAACGCAAAACTCTATATAGAAAATGAAAATTCTAAAACTTTTACTTTAAAATCTAAAATAATACTTAGTATTTAGAAATATTTTGTCAACATATAATTTTTCAATCTCAGTATTTTTAGTTTACGATGTTAATATCAGAGGAATAAGAAGATATTTTACAAAATTAAAGGATAAAAAATAAAATCTTATAGGAAGTTAAAAGAATTAGAGATGTACTTTTGCCTTTAATATATCAATAATAATATAGAATATAGTCTGAAAATAAGAAATATTATTTATATACGTTATGAGAAGTGAAACTACTGATATATTTTCTTTTTGCCAATAGATGATTTATCAGATTTCATGCAATGCATGTGAAAAATATATTTAATTGTTGAAAAAAAACAAAGCAAAAAAACTCAGAATCTATTCTTACTTGTAATGAATAAGAGGAGCGTGAGAACGACAAAGATGTTGCAGCTCTTCGTAGAATCCATATTTGAAGAATATGAATTTTGGAGTAAAAATATGAAATTGTGATGAGATCAAAACTTGGAGGCAAACTGTTTCTTTATATACAGCTTGAAGAGAGTGCTTTTCATTTAATTTCTCGGATTTTCTTCCAAAACCAGTTGATTATAAATCATTAAATTTCTTGGATTTTTTTTTTCCAAAAGTAGTTCATTATACTTATATATTAGGTTATCATTTAATTTCTCGGATTTTCTTCATAGAGCAGTTGATCATATATCATTTAATTTTTCGGATTTTTTCTATGAGAAGTTGATCATGTATGGCTATCTTATAAGTTGAAAATATTTATTTATTTTAGGATTTTCTTCCAAAAGTATTTGGTTTTAATAAGGTTTAGTTTAACCAAAGAATGATACGCTAAATGTTCCGAAAAATGATCTCCATTCTGCTTACAAGGATTGGATATAGTTCAATGTTTTCTTCGTTTTTTCCCCTTATAATTATCTCTTTTAAAAATAATTAATGCTCATTTACTTATTTTATCTCTGTAATCAATGCTTAGGCACCGAGAGAGAGGGTGCTTATCATTTAATCTCTCGGATTTTCTTCCAAAAGCACCTGATTATAAATCATTTAATTTCTTGGATTTTTTTTTTCCACGAGAAGTTCATTATATATGGGTATCTGATAAATTATTGCTTAATATTTATTAATTTATTGGATTCTCTTCCAAAAGTATTTGGCTAAATGGTTTAGTTTAATTCCAGAAATGGTAGAATTTTCTCAAAAAGAAGGAAAAAAAAAGAAAAGAAGAGAAAGTGTGTCATTGTGTATACGTTTATTTTGGGATCATCATTGGAATGAAAATTCTATGGTATATAAATCGAGATATAAAATACATATGAACTAGCTTCAATTTGACTCACGTGTACAGGGAAATTGTCAGATTAATCATGTTGGTCTACATTGATTTTTAATCGTTTATCCTCGTAATCCTTTTATTAATCCAAACTTATATCTAAGTATGCAAATAATAAGGCTTCTTCGGTCTTAAGCCGAAGTTGGACAAGATAAGTAATCCCACTTGAATTAGACACAATAAAATGACATTCTTAATATAAGAGTTAGTTAACTAATTGATGAGATTAAAAAATTAGTTAATTATTTGTAATAAATATTTGTTGTCTTCCTTAAAATAATATTGCTAATAATGTGTATTAAAATTGCCTTTTCATGAAAACACTTAACATATACAATCACTATTGATAAGTAATACTCCTCCAGTTCTAAATATAAAATCTATTTTGTAATATAATTTATACTATAAAATAGGTTTTATATTTAAAACCGGATGAGTAAGAAATTAGTATATTGGAATGGAAACATGTGCGTGGAAAGAGAAAACAAACTAGAGCTCCCCAAAGAGCAGAATATAGTAGGAAGTATTTGGGCTTTACATTTTATGCAGAAACTGAAAACAGTAACATTCTAGGGTGGTTTTGAATCTGATCCGACTTGGCCTGGTCTTATCCTGAGACATAGATTGATATATTTGTAAAAATTTGTTCATCTACATTCCTGAATTATACGTAGTGCTAATTGTTCGGGTTCTCGAAGCTGACTTTTGAAACCTTAAAAGTTAGTTGGGGTCAAAAATACTATTTGGATTAGCATTGAGGCAAGATAAATTTTTGCTTAAAAATCACTTTCCATTTGGTGGTTCGAGGAAAACAGATGAGAGGAGAGATGGGGAAAAATTTTAATGTGCTTGATTTAAAAAATTTTAATCTTAAATGTGCTTGATTTAAAATTTTTTAATCTTATGTCTTCTTTTTATTAAAATTTTAAAGGGAAAATGGCAAATAAAGAAACTGAAAAATGTGATATTCCAAATCAGGCATCTAAGAGTTGAAAATGACAGAGAAGGCAGTGGTGCCTGATCTGATATTTTATATAGTTAAATGACTAAAAATGCCTTTATGTCAAAAAGTTTATTAATAAGTTTTGAATTGATAATGATAAGTATTAAATAGTAAATAAAAAATATATATTAGTAATAATAAGTTATCTATTAACAAGTTGTACATGAACTGACAATTATAAGTATTAAACAGTCAATAATAAGAAATGTACTGATAATAAAAAGTTTGATAGCTTTTTATTTCAAATCTAACACAAGGATATTTTAGTCATTTAACTATATTTATAAAATACCAGATCAGGTACCACTCCTTCCTCTGTCATTTTCAACTCTTAAGTACTTGAATTGAAAAATGATGATTTCAGGGTTCTTTTTATGAAATTTTCTCAATTTTAAAACCCTACTTCTCCCATTTTTGTAAATCAAGCTCATTAAAAAATTTTCTCTCCTCTCTGCCCTTTCAATTCCCTCAACCATATACTAAAGTTGAAGCAATTTTTTCCTCCTGGTTATTTTTTAATATATCATTCAAATAAGTTTATGTCACACTAATTTTTTTTTTAATAAGATCTTACCCAAATGTAAATTATATTACATCAATTCACTATTTTTTAGAAGATGTCAATTGATTTTTACTTCAACTTCAATTTGTAAAAATTTGTTAAGATAAAAGTTATTTTTTTTCACAAGCATTAATTTAATCAAGCTCTTAGTTTTACTGAACTTTATCTTTATAATGGCAGAAATATAGGTTAGCTCAGCTGGACTCATTTTATTACATGTAGATCTACGTGGGATAACACTTGGTCGCATGTCCTATTTTCAAAACATTTTCTTATATTTATAATGTTCAATTCTCCCCTGTCATACATTACACATGGTCGCATGTCCTATTTTCAAAATATTATTCTCAAATTATAAAAACAAATAAAAAAAAGGACACATAGTTATGCATGGATAGATAAATTGCTAGATTTTTGTTTTGCCAACAAGAAATTGATATACTAGCATTGAATAATATAAAGAATTTGATGTAAGTATTTTTCATATACATAAATTATGGCTTGAAAACATTGACTGACTCTTGAAAAACCAACCAAAAAAAAAAAAGACTAGTTGAACCGGTTGATTAATGAATTTTATTGGTTTTGGACTGAATTAAGGCTGAATGAAATCACCCGATCCCTTCTCATTCTCTTGACAAAAACGTCAATTGTACCAATTTCTTAAGTAAAAGAGTTGATTGGTAACATAACTCAAAATGGTGGGATATATAATTCAACTTTGACTTTATATATCAGTAACATCACGTCAAATTTAAGTATCCTAATTCTAATTGTTTTGTTCCAAAATAAAAATATTTCAGAGGGCGTTTTTTTTTTAAGGAAAGTTTGGCAAATAAAAAAAACACTTTTTTTTTAACTGCATTCAGACAAGTTGAGAAAAAATTCTTTTTATATATTTATTTGGTACACTGTAAAATTTCTTTTTTATTTGAATATTCATAATTAAGAAGTATTGAATTTTTTTTCCTTTCGAATAAGCCTTAAAAGGAAGGAAAGGTGATATTTATTTTAAAAAGAAATAACTATTTATTATAAATAACTAATTTAAATAATTTTTTAATATATTCAAATTAATAAACTAATTTTTATATTAAATACCAAGAGAGTATTTTTACTGTTAGTCTGTATTAGGAAGTCACTGTCCAGTTTTTTCTGGATGCATGAACCACTAATAGTGTACCTCACTTTTTTTTTTTTTTTGGTGAAGATAGTGTACCTCACTTTTTCTTAATGCAGTTCGCCTCTTTATTTAAAAAAAAAAAAAAAGAAGTTCCTAATGTGGTGGACATTTCCAGAGAAGGTAGTTAAGACGGCGGATTAACCGAAGTTTGCCTCCAGCCTCAACCCGCCCCCACGTGGCTGAATCTCCCAAGGCTCGTCAGTTGAACTCTTTTTACCACACTACCCTTCTCAAATGGTTTTGGAGGATATGATGACTTTAACCCTGAAAATCTTGCTGGTGAAAAAAAAAAGAGGAAAAAAAAAATCTGAAAATCTTAAAATTGAAACAAGAATCTGTGTAATTAAGCGATCTTAATTTGTAATTATATGAATTAACATTTACAATTATTTTTTAAAATTTTTTATTAAAAACCCAACTATCATAAATTTGACGTCTGTTAATCTTATTGTCGTTCTCCTAATATTCTTTCCTAATTCCTTTCTTTTTTGATAAGATGCATGAGTATATTATTAAACTAATTATTTAATTTTACATTTTATTTTCTATTACTCGTATTTCTCACCATTCTTGTTGGCCAAAAAATTCACAACCTTCTTCTCTAAAATTTTCATCAAAATAAGTCTTTTCGTCATTTAATTTGAAAAGTGATCTTTAGAGGTTTTTTTCATACAAATTGAAATAAAATATAACATATTTCTTATTTTAATAAAAATAAATTTAATAATATATTCTATTTATATAATTTTAAAACAATAGATAATTGATCAAAAGTTCTACTCAACATTTTGATTATGTATTTTAATTTTTAATAATGACAGAATAGGCTATAATGTAAATTGACTTCAAATAATGTCAGTGGCTGTGGCCAGGATAATAAGGGATCATCTGTGATTTAATGTAATGACGGGGGTATTTATGACAATTGACCTCAACGGTGAGGCACTGCGAGTGCGAAGAAGGGGGAGCACCGATTTTTTCCCACTTATCGCCCTTCTGATTTTGTATCTCCTCTCTCGATCACTATTCTTTCGTCCATGGCTACATCTTTCGCGCCAATTTCCATTTCAGGTAGTCTGTCGTTTGTTCTTTGAATCTGGGACGATTTCTTTGGTTTATTTCTTTTGCTTCGCAATGGGTTGCTGGGAATAAACAGGTTTGAATGAAAGTGGCGCAAAGGTTTTAGGTTTTGTTTTATCGCTGCCTCTCATCCTCGATTCGTGTGATTGTAAAGGGTTACAATCTACAATCAATGAATTGAAGGGATTTAGGTGATGTTGAAGATTATTTTTTTCACTACTGGAGGAAATGTTATTGATTCGTTTTTTGTATGTAGATTTTTATTTTTTTGGCTGTCTAAGGTTGTTGCTTTGATTTGGTATAGGTGGATGCCATCTTAAGCCGCGCGAGCTTTTGTTAACGAATCCTAATTCTCTTAGGGTTTCACCTAAGCTTGCTGCTAAAAGGAAATCCAACCTCGAGAGAAGGAACCGGAGCTCAGCAATTCGTGCAGAATACCGGTATGCCATTCTGTGATCACTTTAGTTTTGTTTATGTTTTATAAACTTTTGCCAGATAATTGTGTGTCCACGTTTTATCTGCTATGCTTGTTTGTACTCAGCAGGTATTTGATCCATGCCTTTAACTGTATAGTCGCATATGGTTTTACTATCAGCAAAACTTCGTGGATGATGCAAACTATATTATTTCCTCAGGAAAGGATTTGTTTTTAGTAAATTCTGGACAAAGTATTTGTGACTTCTAATTTTGCTGGGTTCTTTCTGTCTTAAGTTTCTTTTGAATTAGTTCATCTAACGTCTTCCCGTTGGGCTGACATTGTGATGTGTCCTAGTTAATTTTTGAGCTTCCAAGACTGATAGGACATGTGAGAAGCCAGGCCTCAAATGACGCAGAGCCTTAATTATTCGATCTCTTACATATTAAATTTCAAAGTAAACTCAAAATTTGATTTGAGGTTTCGAAGAATAGATGCTTCAAAAAAAGGTGTCATGTCCTTGTTCACCTCTAGTCAGGGAGACTTGTATCTAACTCAATGTAACATTTCAAATTTCATGCGGTCAGTTCAGATTTTAGTGTGCTTCGGTACTTATGTCATTTCTGTGTCCTTGCTAACTGGATTCAAGGTTGTTCCATGTCAAAAACTTAATATGATTAATTATTAGTGTGAGGCATTGTGGAAGAGTTGAGCTGGCAATTGGGGAGGTGGATTGCCTGACAGCTGAAGGTGTATTTGAGGAGGATGTTTCATACTTATCTTGTAACAGTAGCTCCATAATTCAATAGCAATATGACTAATTTCTCAGATCCCCTTGACTTGCTTGGTCTTGTTTGCAAATATTTAATATAAAATTTGATGTATCTCTATTTATTTATAATTTGTATAAACGTCAGGCTATTTTTGCCCAATATTTGAGCCTTGGTTTTAGAAATTCAGACTAAATTAGATACATTTTCCCCAAAAAGAACTTGGCAATGACCCATCTATGTCACTCCGTCAATAATTATGACTGGACTACCTTGTCCATGTTGATATTCAGGACGCACTCGAGTTGGTAGGGACAAAGTGATGGTTATCTAGGCGCTGTGCACAATACTTAAAGTATTTGCAGAGTGTAAATTTCCGTGATGATTTTAGTGAAAATATATTTGGATTTAGGAAGAGGAATTAAAGCTGTCCGGTGGAAACAAGCATAAACACCCTTAAAAATTGGATAAATATCTCTAGAAGCTGGGAAGAAGAAGGACCGTGGCTTCTCAGTTATAGCTTTATACTCATCACTCTGTGATTTAATTACCCAACAAATAATAAGATAAAATGAACTCAAAAAGTGATTAATTTATCAGTATAGGGTATACAATAAAATTTATATTAAGCCACACTTTTCAAAAGACATAATAAATGCAATTTAATCTTTAGTATCCATGCAGTGTGCGGAAAAGTGTGTTTAGTTATAAAGATAAAGCAGTACAGTGTATTCATACACATAGTTTTACAATAAAAATTGGACCATAGTCCTATGGTTATGGGGAATGAGGATTGTGACATTATAGTAAGATTAAAATCTTTCACCATGACCTGAGCAACTGATTGGCATTGTAATAGTGCTTTCCGTGCTTCTGAATTTTTCATATTAATTGATTGTATGTATATAATCCTGATGTTATACTGGGGCCTACTGCTTGATGCCAGTCTGCACAAAGGACTTGATCCTATAGGTTTCCTGTGTGGAAGATTATGTGTATTTATTCTTCTTTTTACATTTTTGTCATCTAATTGCAGTGACAGTGGAAGTGGAGGTGGGGATTTTGTTGCTGGTTTTCTTCTGGGAGGTGCGATTTTTGGAACACTAGCTTACATCTTTGCTCCCCAGGTGAATGCTTTCGTTTGTTTCTCAAACTGTTAATTTATTAGTACTTGATAGTTGATACACTGTGATAGTTTATGGGCTAATGGATCATCAGTGGATCTTATTGTTATTTTTAAGTAAAAGCTAATATTTTGATTAAAAATATTATAATCTGTCTGCAAGCTGATTTTGTTGCTAATGCTATTATGTAGATCCTTAATGTGCTTTGCATATTTTGTGTGTTCAATTCTTCTTCCTTCTTTTTTTTTTTTTTTTAAATGCTGCAGATTAGAAGATCTCTGTTGAATGAAGATGAATACGGGTTTCGTAAGGCCAAAAGACCGATATACTATGACGAAGGTTTAGAGGTAATTAGGCTTCCTTGACTTTATAATAAATATATTGGCGTGCTTGAACAGCATTAGTTATAATTGTGTTTTATACTGGAAAACAGAGGACCAGGCAGACTCTGAATGAAAAGATAGGCCAACTAAATTCGGCCATTGATAACGTGTCTTCACGCTTGAGAGGTGGCAATAATGTGCCTGCAACACCAGTAGAAAGTGACCCTGAAGTGGAAGCTACCCTGTGAGGCGTTTCTTGTTTGGTTCCATTATTTTTTCAGTACTGCTTTCACTAACGCTTGAGTAGTGATTATAAATAATTGAAGACCGTATACCTGTTAAAATTGGTTCTGCTACCTTATTTTGCCATAATTTTTTGGGTTGCATGTTCGATGGCAAAAGACTTCCTGCTGGATACGTGGAATCTCTTGAATGGAATTTATATCTCTTGTTTTCTATATATCTATATCTATGTATATAATTTAGAAAACAAGTTGAAGCTGCGGTTTTTTTTTTTTTTAATACTAGTGTCTTGTGTTTTTTTTCTGTTTTTTTTTCCTTTTTGGGGGGGCCTCATTGGTGCCTTATGGGTTAGATGATCTAATTTGTTGTCAGATGATGGCTGAGGGTAACATAATACTGTTAGACTGATGATGACGATTTCATAGGTTTGGTGAGCCACACTACTTTGTTGGTGGAGTGGCCAGCGGTTACCAAAGGACTCAAGTTTTGGACGGTTATTACTTTCTTTTCCAGTAGGATGTGGTCCATTTCTATTTTCTCCTATGGACCTCAAAAGCCTAAATTTCAGATCGAGATTGTCAATTTTGGAAAAATATGTAGAATTTGAATGTGGGTTTTTTCGCAAAGTTTTCGATTTTATAGTTTATATTGGGGAATGATTGATGTACTGATGCGTTGATGCTTTTGAAAGAGAACCTTAATTATTTTTGAAGGTTAAGCATCACTTTTTCTTTTTACAGAATAAGTATCACTTATTATTTTATAACTGAGTAGAATCAAGATAAGATTTATTATATATTTAAAAATTTATCTTTAAAAGGTAAAAACTACGAAATAATATGTAATGAAAGATTTGTCTTTAGAATTAAAAAAAGAATGCTATATGTATTTATAGAATAATTAGAATTCCCATTTAACTTAAGATATGAATTTTTTCGGCCAAAAAAAAAATTAAAATATGAATCAAACAATTATTCATTTAACTTGTCAAAAAGTTAATCTTTTGGGAAGTGTACTCCTATGTGAGCTTTTGGGAGAAGTTCAATAAATTGAATCAAGTGACCTTTGGGTTGTTTTGCGGGTCTCAAATAATTTGTTTATGTTGATTTCTTTCTTTCTTTGTTTTTGACCTAACCTTCGGTTTGAGGGGCCTCGACCGATTTCAGAAAAATGTATCTGAATGTCTAATATGGGCCACAGGCCCAAAATGTTCACCATGGACCCGATGGGCATACCCCCTTAGCGTATATCCTAATGGAACTATTTTTTTTAATAAGTTTATATTAAAAAATATATGTATTTTTTCTAACATTTAAACCTTGTTAAAATATTTGACGAAACATTGTAAAAAGAAAAACAAAATATCATGAAGCTCAATGAAATTTATGGAAAAAAAGGTGAAAAGAATGAAAAAGAGTTGCATGGTGTGTGATATGTATAAATCTTGCTATATATGACATGTAAATAGTAGAGTTGGGAATCAGGGCCAACCCTTCAGGACTTAAAAGGGCCAGCTCTCCAGGGTTGAAATTTTAAAATTACCCCAATTTGTTAGCCCCGGTCCGCGGGCTTTTGGCCCGTTTAAGAAAAAATACTATTTTTTATATTTATCATATTTTTTTATAAAAATGTAAAAATAAACTAATGAAATTATTAATAATAAACATAAATATGGATAAAATTAAGTCATAAATATAAAATATCATCATATATAAATATTCATCAACATTTAAGAATATTGAAAACATTCATTAACAACATAACAACATCTAAAAGTTTTATCTATAATGCAATTGTGCAATAAATAAACACTATCATTAATCTTTTGAAACTTCATCAATCATCATCACTATAATTAATTACTTTTCTTCATAAGTATGCTTTTCTTTCGTAACAAAAATATCAAGTTTTTCTTCTTTATAAGAATTTTATTTTTAAATTTTACAATCTAACTATTATTTTACTTTAATATAAGAAACATTGTTGTTGAAACTTATGAATTTCTAATTCAAATTATAGAATCACAAGTTATATAAGTATAAAAATATTCTATTATCAAATATATATATATAATTTAAAAATATCAACGCGTATAATATAAATCAAATCATTATTAAAATCCAAATTAACCCATTTTTTAAAAATTTAATTGGATAAATTATTGTCTAAAACTAAATTTAATTTTAAAATGATAATAATAACTAAATATTTAAAATATTATTAACAATGTAAAAAATTAATAACATTAATATTATATTAAAAAAATTATAAAAGGGCTTAAAAGGGCCAGTCCTTTTAAGTCCTCGGCCCTTCAGGGCCAGCCCTCCAGGGCTTATTTCTCATTTTAAGAGAAAAATATCAAGCCCGGCTCTTATAATTTCAAAGCCTAAACGGGCTCAGTCTGTTTTCCCGGCTCTAGTAAATAGTATGGCTCTCTATAGGATTTATATTTCTGGTGTGGACAGAAGCTTTAATACAAGTTGATAGGATAAATATTTTTTAAAGGATGAATATTTTGATATGTGTAAGTTATTGATTGGTTCATTGTCATCATTAATCATTAATTTTTAACATAGAAATCAAATATTTCCACCATCTTCTTCAAATTAACATCAATCACTATAAATTCAATGTCATTAACAAGTACTCCAATAAAATCACCCCACCATGCAAACTGGTGTTATTCCTTGATATTATGAACCATAATAGACATCATATCTTGATGATAACTTTGACACATTCTGGCTGTTTCGATATCTCAAATGCTTTGCTTATCTCTGTTAAAGGGATTTCATGGGTCTGAAGTTCATCAAGAGAGATATCCTGCAAAAATAAAAATATACCCATTGTTATAATCTATAGAGAAAAATTAACTGTGATTAACATTACTAAGAGAATTATACGCAATTGAGGTCTCTCCGCAGAGAATTTCACCTTGTTTAGGCACTTGGCAGCTAAAACAGGAAGGTCCGATTTTGGTTTTAAGCCTCCAAAAACAGAACCCTTTAAAGTTCTTCCAAGAAGAAGACCTAACCAGTTCACCTGCACAAATTCCTCGCTTCCTGCACCGATTACTATTGCCTTTCCTCCCCCCTGCTTGTGTATACACAGTAAGTTACTGAGAGAACACGCACACATGCACTTGCTCTATGTTGAAGGTTCATTGGTGAACAATTTGTTGCACCTTACGGAATGAGATAAAAGAATATGAAATATCTTAGAAGATTTATTTAATTAGTTTAAATGATTGGTGATTCGGGAGTTTACCACTTTTGTGGATTCCAGGGCTTGAGTGAGCAGAGGGGCAACACCAGTGCACTCAATGGCATAATCCACACCTAATCCGCCAGTAAGATCCTTCACCAACTGAGAAGAAGGCTTATCAGAGTGATCCTTAGGATTTATAAAATCTGTCATTCCAAAAGCTTTCCCCTTTTCTCTCTTCTTCTCATTGATGTCAACACCTATTATCTTAGTTGCTCCCATCATCTTGGCTCCACTTATCGCCTGCAATACAAATAATTTACTCACTATGCAATCTTTTTCTGGGTATGAAAACTACAGTAAAACAAATGTTCCTTATGGAAATAGTTGTTCTAGTAAATATGCATACCCCTAACCCAACAGCTCCAAGGCCGAAAACAACCACAGATGATCCACTTTGAACTTGGGCTGTCTGCCAAGCAGCCCCAAAACCAGTAGAGAATCCACAAGAGATGAAGCTAGCATGAGCCAAATCAATACTTGGATCAACTTTCATAAGGTAGCTCTCATCACTGACCATATACTCACACCATGTTGAGCAGCTAAACACATGGTACACTTTCTGTCCTCTTATGGAAATCCTTGATGTATCATCAGGCATAAGGCCACTCACTCTTAGAGGATATCTCACGCATAAGTTTGATTTCCCTGAAACACAGACCTCACATTCTCCACACTCTCCAACATATATTGGAATCACTATATCTCCAACTTTGAGATCTGTCACTTTCTCCCCTATGCTCTCCACAACCCTGCATTTTTATTCATCACAATGAAAGTTGTTTGTGGATTAGAATTGATTGAACGATTGGTGAGTGCTTGACTGGGTTTTGAATTAACAATGTGATAAGCTTACCCTACGCCTTCATGCCCCAGTGCTTGAGGGAAAACTGGCTGCACATCAATTTCATTTAGTATATATATTTAGTTATAAGAAGCCTTCTTGTGGGATAGAATGAAGCAGGGATGAAGATAAATTGGATGTTTTGCATTTCTTATAGAGTCAATTCCGATACAAATTTTCATTTCAAAGTTGATAAACTCTAATTAAAATGGTACACTTACACTGATGTAAGTTTCAAGAGGCTAGAATAATAACTAATGTGTGTGTAAGAATATCACAGAATCTTACATATGGCCATCCTCGACTTCTCAAGATGTCTGTGTGGCACAAACTGGCATAAAGCATTTTAACTCGGACTTCAGAAGCTTTCGGAGGGTCTACTTGTATCTCTTCCACTTTCACTCCCTCTCCTTTTCCCCAACATATTGCTCCTGCAATTTTTTCTCCATTCAGAATCAGAAGATAGATAATGCATATTATTCCAACAGATCGATTTGGCTCACTATGGTTAAATCATAAACAGCTCAATGATGATGTCAGAATCTTATGCCCCGTTTGGTAACTAGGGAGGTGAGAAGTGGAAATGGAAGTAGAACTCAAAATTTGAGTGTTTGGTATCCTTGAAGTGGCTTCCATGGAAGTGCCAATTCCATCAAATCTGGTAACTGCCACTTCCATAGTCCCCCATGAGAACTGAGTTCCAGTTCCATGGAACTGAAACTCTGACCGTTTTGCCCCTCCCCCATCCTACCGTCTTCTTACCCCACCCTCCACTGGTCCTCTACCGGTGACGACCCTCCACGGCCACGGCAACACGGTCCTCCTCTTGCGACGGCCACGGTGGCCTTTCTTCATTCGCGATGGCAACAAACATGAACTCGCCTTCCAGCAGCGAACACGACCCCATATTCATCTCCCGCAAATAGCTTGACGCAGTTATCGTCACCAGCAAACGCGATTTAGCCAGGTGGTTGAAAATGCTTTGATCTGAGTTTAGTTCTTCAGATCTGGTTCGATAAAAGTAACATCTGGTTTGAAGTTATGAATTTTCTTTTTCACGACTTTGTTTCCTTCGACCTCGTTCTTGCTTTGACTCGGAGATTATTGCATCCATGTATTGTTTCTAGTTCCTTCAATTTGTTCTTTTGGATATTGCTCTGCCAGCGACGATGGCGGTCAGATGAAGGTGGGGGACGGAGGTTGACACTAGGTGGAGATGGAGAGATTTTCTTTGCACGTTTTGGTATTTTCATATTGCAAATACATACTTTAATTAAAAATTACATATCACTTTCATCGTCTTATCAAACATGTTCTTCTACCACTTCTAATTCTACTTCCGCTTCTGCTTTCAAAAGCTCTTTCATGATACCAAACGGGGCATTAGAGTAATCAGGAAGAACGAAATTGAAACTGCCAGATTGGGATTATGGTATATGATACCTTTGCAAGTTATAACTTGTGAGCTGCTTGACATTATATTATTCAACTTCACTCTGCAGATTCTAACAACGAGCTGGAAGCTTTGGCTTGCCAAGGAAGAATAAAGCTTTGTACTTGGCCTTGTATCCTTAGTGCTTGGATGGGAAGAGAAAATGGGAAGACAGAAAAAACAGTGAAGTGATTTTTTTTTTTTGGGATGAAAAGTAAAGTGGAGAGAATGTTTTCTTATGTTTGGATGAAGAGATCAAATACAAAGAAGAGACTGAGCTTGGTTTTTTTTTTTCCCCCCCGGAAAGAGACCGAGCTTGTTGGAATAAGTAAATAAGCATTAGAAAAACCCCCTCAAATTCAAAGCCACTCTAGAGCAAGTGAATAATTCTTTAGATATTTTCATATAGCTAAGTTGTTCTGGAACAATTTCCTTTCACCCGTTTCCATATTTGGTGAATCCTCATCATGAAGAGTTGAACACTATCGGCAGTGGGGCACCAACTAAATATATAAATGAATATTATGACTGTGTTGTGTTGAAATAAGCACTCCTCTTGAAGAAAATTGCATTGAAAGAACTTTGAAACAACAAAATAACGAAATTCTCATCTGAATAAAGAGAATTACTTAAAAAGATGGAGTCTTAAATTGTAATTATAAGCTTAAAAGATCAAAAAGCCTCTCTCTTTTTTCTTTCTTTTCCACTCTCTCTTCTTCCTTCTGATCTCTTTCCTCCTCCTCCCCCTCTTCCTTCCCCTTCTCCCTCACCCCCCTTCCTCTGCCTGCCCCATTTCCTCGTCCCCATTCCCACCTCATTACCTGTGCAGCACAGCCAACAACGAAGCGGGTAACACAATCAAAGAAGGCTTTAGCAAAAGAAGATGAATATGCAAGGAGCAACTGTAAATTCTAGAAGGATGGGTCTGGATTCTATCGCACAGATAGTTGGAATGGGAGATTTGCAACCTTCATAATTCGCACAGATGGTTTATATAAAGATTATTATGAATGAAGCGTTAGATTCTTGGACATCATGAATTGTTGTGGGAAAAGTCAGCGTCTCTCTCTCTCTCTAACCCATTTTTGCTTTCGGTAGTATAATTTCTATTCGAGTTCTCAATCCCCAGAAAGTCTATTGCTTTTGCTTTTGCTCCTATTACAACCTTCCCACATACAAACAAACACAAGATTATCCCAAGAACTGTATGTCTTTGATTAATCGTCTGCAAATTAATTATACGCCTCACTACCTTCATCTTCCTCTCGAATCATAACTTTCCACCAGGAAAATTTATTGAAAAACAAAGTTATGTAAAGGGACCAATTATGGAGAATTATGAAGGTGAGTTAACTGACATGGTGTGTGTTGGGAAATAACAAGTCTTTACTTAAAAATAGTAAGTTCAATACGTGGATTTAACAAGTTTATAATTAAAAATAATCAACTATGTTTGATATTATAAAAGTAGTTGTTGTCATGACCATACTAGTTTTTTGTTATTGGTCAAAAGAAAGTTGTTATTTCTAATATAAATGCTGTTATTGATATATTAATAATAAAGAATTTTTCGTTTATATTGCAAAAAGTTGCTACTGCATTAACATTAATTTGTTATTTTTAAATATAAATTTGTTACTTTTAATTATGAACTTGTTATTTTTTATACAAAACTTGTCAATTTGTCATATTCGTTATTCCCAATTACTTAACAAACTTATTATTTTCAATCATGAACTTGTTATTCCCAACAATTTATCAAACTTGTTATTTTCTATACAAAACTTATCAATCTTTCATACTCAACTTATTATTCTCAAGTACTTAATCAAATTGTTATTTATAATTATAAACTTGTTATTTCATATGTAAAACTTGTCAATTTGTCATACTCAAATTGTTATTCCCAACTATTTAACAAATTTATTATTTCTAATTATAAATTTTGTTGCTAACGATGCGTCTAGTATAAAAAATAACAAGTGTTAAAAAAACTAGTCATATTAACTCAAGCTTGATAAAATTTAAACCATCAAATTACATTTAAACCAAGATGAAAATAGCACAACTCATACTTTCTAGTCCATTTCGCTACCCTTTTCATGTTGCCCTTGAGCTTGGTTTCAACCTGAATGTTACAAAGTCCATGTTTTATTTTGTTATCTCTTTCTACTAACTTGTTATTTTAAATAATTAACTTATTATTTTCATAACTTAACTCGTCATTTTCATGACTTAACTTGTATTTCCATCAGTAGACTTTTTAATTATCATTCACTTATTATTTACAATAGTAAATTTGTTATTTTCATATTCAATCTTGTTACTTGAAATATATGTTATTTACAGAGTTATGAGTTGTTATACCTCACTTATTATTTGCAGAGTTAAGTGATAAATTTGTTGTCTATGTTGAAGGATTAGCTTTTTGTAATAACCTTATGTGGTGGTTGGTCAACCACAAGTTCAATGAATGGTGTGATGATGCTTTGCAGCTTCTTCCATAGCTGCGGGATGGAGGAAAGGCCAAAAAAGACTAACTCAGTAGATAGTAAAATGGGATTGTAGATAATGTTGGTGTATTTAACTTAGGCTTAATATATTTGACTTTGTACTAATAATTACTCAGTAAATTTATCAATTCTTAATGACAATTATGTACGTATTCGGGGAAAAATATATAGCTAATTGCACACATAAATTCACATTATTTCCAGCAAAAAATTATGCATAAAGCATAGTTCTAGTGGTCACAATTAATGTCTAACTCAAATGACCATAGATTTGAGAATAGTGTTTAACAAACCTTGTTATACTCACCGACAGTAAGTTTGTTAATTCAAGAACCCAAATCATGATATGTATATTTTATGGTCTTTTTTATGATTTTCTCAAATATTAATGTGAATAGATTTTTTAACAGGGATTTGAATTTTTACATGTCATGTTCTTTAATAACTCTTTTGCTACACTCACTCTCTTTTGGTTTTTCTCTTCCACTTTTATTTCCTTATTATCTCTTGCTATGCAACCACATTTTCCTCCTATGTTTTTTTCCTCAATTATCTCTTCCTCTTGCTTTTCTCTTTTCCCAAACATTACATTCCATAATGTCCAACTTTCTGATTGAAATTTCCGTGGCTATACTAACCCTCAACATCGTTGCCGGCCCACACGAAAAAAACTCAAACCCGTTCCTCCACATAGAAATGTTTAATCGATTTCAAGTACTATAGATTTTTAATATAAAAGCTTATTTAATTTTTATTTTTATTTTTTTTTAATATAAAATTTTAATCTATTTTATCTTTTATATTTATTTATTTATTTAAGGTAGTCTTTTTAATAATAATAATTCTAGTCATAAGCCAAAACACTTGATTAGTAAGTATATTTTTTAAAAAAACAACACTTATTTATTACAAATAACTAATTTAATTATTTTTTTAATCTATTTAAATTAGTTAACTAGCCTTTATATTAAGAACAGACAGTAATAGTTGAAAAAAAAATAACAAAAAGAAAAGCTCAACTGTGTAAAGCGAAAACTATGAGTAAGTTAGTAGAAAATAGAAAAGATCATGAGGACAATTATTTGATACTGGCAATCCATGAGCATGCATGAAGACAAAGACCACAAACATATCGTCATTTATGAAATAGGATTCCAAAAAGAAAAGCTTTTCACGGGCTCACTGTACACATTGTGATGAAAATTTTCAGCCGCATAAAGTAGGAAGAATTATTATAAAATTCTAAATAAAAAAAATATAATCATTAAAAAGTCCCACCAATAATATAACTGCATGTAACGATAAATCTTAAGATAATAAATGATACTCTCTTGTATATGACTTAATTCTTGAGTTGGTTTTAATCCTAAATATAAAACCTATTTCTCATATTTATCAATTTCTTTAAACTACCCTTATAGATACTCCCTCAACCATAATCAAGTAGAAAAAGGAGAGGGATATTAAGAAAAATGATTATGATGTTTTAGAAAAAAGTATCACTTTTCTTATAATTAACTAACTTATCTAATTTTTTAAGGGAAAATTGCAAAAAAAGACCTTGAAATTGCAAAAACCAGATAGGGACCCTTGACAACTTCACTTTAGGTTTTGACAAGAATAATATGCCCTGAAGTTGTCAAAACCCAAGTGAAGTTGTCAAGGGTCCCTATCTGCGTTTTTACAATTCCAAAGTCTTTTTTTACAATTTTCCCTTTTTTTAATACAATCAAATTAATTAAATGGTCTTACGCTGAAAACAAGATGAGTACTGTTCTCTTGTTTGCTTCTGATTATAAATTTGCCCCTGAAGCGCGAAAGAGATGTGACCTGTCACCGAACAACACGTCTACGTGCGCCAGACATGTGGTCCCAAATAGAAGGACAGTGCACCTGCAACTTGAGATGGGATCCAAACATACTGAGCTGACTTTCTCTAATGATTTCTAATATCCTTTAAAATATTTTAATTATTTTTTAAAGAAAACAAATGAAAAATGCATAATTTTAAAGTATTTTTCTACCAGGCAATCGATTTGTTACCTTTGGCGTTATAACTTGGGAGCTGCTTGACGTTCTATATATTCAACTTTTTTACCTCTATAGGTTCAAAAAATTGGGAAATCTTGTATTTGTGAGATTTACTAGAGTAGATCTTATATATAAAAAGTAATTTTCTCTTATTATTTATATAGATTTAAATGATTGGGGGTGTTTTAGATTTGTGGGACATTGTTTCTACATGTATTTAATACAGGAATTTCTGACGGTGAATGATGTTCACATATTTTAATTTAGGTGTGCATAATAAATAATATTACTTCCGGTCCTAATTATAAAAGCTAATTGATTAATTTGAAGAAATTAAGAAAAAAAGTTAAGTTAGTTATTTTGTAATAAATAGGTGTTGTCTTTTCTAAAATATCCTTACTAATCAAGTATATTGGCTAGAGCTAATATTGTTACAAGGATTTTCTTGAAAAAAATGCATAAATTTGAGAGATAAAGTAGATTGGAATCTCATATTTATGACCAAAATAAAAGT